AAAAAGGGTTGGAATAAAATTAACAAAGTAGAATGATGAATGTAAATCATATGACTAACATTTTAACAACTATATTATCAATGAAAAAAAAAAAACCTGTTTCAAAAAAAAAATGAATACATATGAGTGAGTCATTTTGGGCGTTGACAAAATTCATCCATGTAAAATTTTGCTATTAAAATAAACATTACAATGACCAGTTTTAATATTTACTACCATTATTACAACTGTTACCAGTTACTACCATTAATCAATCAATATGGTGTTTGATCGATGACCATTCCCAAAATTATTTATTATTTTTCTTTCATTTCAAAAAAAAAAAATGCTTAAATTATGAATTATTATTAATAATTTTGGTTAAAAATTATTGATTTATTGCTAAATTATTTTCTAGTTATTCTTTTACGAAACCGTAATTTAATTGTTCATTTTTCTTTTTTGTTTCATTTAAATTTAAGAAAAAAAAAAAGTGGAAATGTTTAATTTTAGTAAAGTCAATAAAATATTGCAATAACTGAGAGAGAGAGAGAGAGAGAGATTTGTGAAAGTGATAATGATGATCGTTATAAATAAACAATTTCAAATTTTCTTTTCTTTACAAATTTAAAGCAGTAAGATGAATAAAGAATGAAGATCGAAACAATCGATTCCTATTTTGATCAACTAATTAATCAATATAAAATCATAAAACATTAAATTGATATTGCTTAATTATTTAAAATATTCGTCTTAATCAATTTCGACTAATTCAATTCAAGCAAAGAGTTAATCAAAATTTATTTAACAGATGCTCTCTTTGGCACTCTTGCTTTTCTTCTCTCACATTCACTGGTGACACTTTTTTTTGTGACAATTCAATTAATTAACTAATTTCATATCACTTATATCACAATTTCATGATATTACACCAAATTTTCAATCAGAAAATATATTCGAAAAATTGATATTATCTTGCAAAAAATTTACACATTTCTGGAAAAAAAAAAGTTTTTTTTGCTTATATCATTTGAGTAATCATTAATTAAATGATGATTTTAATTTTAATAAATTTTACAGAAAGATATGCATAGGGAAAGTATCCTTTTATTTCTACTCTTTATCATATTTCATCTACAAGCAACAACATTTGGCTTTCGACAACAATCTATTGGTGTCCGAGGTCGTCTTGTATGTGGTAATCAAAGTTTGTCAAATACACAAGTGAAATTGTGGAATAAAAATAAAATTGGTCAGTTATTATAATACATATCATTTAATTGGCATGCAATTATTATCAAAACTTCGTAAAAAAAAAAGAAACTAACCTACTTTAGTGAATTTACCTTTTTTTTTTTGTTTAAATTAACTCAATTTTAAAGTTAGCTAGTTAATTCTATTTTATTCTTTTTTTTTTTGGAAAAATCAACTTGGAAATAAGTTCAAATATGATTATAAGTAATATTTTCTATTGCCATTTTATTGTTTAAAAAAAAAACGATCGAAATTACTAAATATCTATAAATTAAAATAGAAAACAACTTTAATATAATTATGATAGTACTAGCTTTTTTTATTTTTTTTTTTGTTCAATCATTTTTTAGGTACGGATGATCAATTAGCAGCGATGAAAACGAATGCTGATGGTAGTTATGAATTGAAAGGTGGCATTGGATCAATATTTGGAATGGATGTTGTGTTGAAAATTTATCATGATTGTGATGATGGAGTTATGGTAAGAATGATAAATCATATCAGTATGAAGATTATTTGATAATTTCTAGTTGATCATATCAGTATGATTATTTGATAATTTCTAGTTAATCATATCAGTATGAAGATTATTTGATAATTTCTACTTTAATATCACATAACAAGAAGAATAGATTTGTTCATATTCTTTAACAATCCACCATATTTTCAACAATATGATCACAATCTTTCAATATTATATACTATTTCCCACTTAATTACGACCATGTTATCATAGTTATTATCATATCATTTCCATTTGCTTATCATCTATATTATGATAAATTATTGCGATCAATTTGTAGGAAATCATTAAATGTATATATTGATATGAAAAAAAAAAAAAAAATTTGCGACAAAATTTTTTCAGCCTTGTCAACGAAAAGTTGTACTAAATATTCCCGATCATTATGTTACTCGTTCAAGTGATGTCAAAAAGTGGTTTAATGCGGGAATAATGAATATGGAATTCAAATTTCCAAATGAAGAACGAAGCTGTATCAATTAGTATAAAATCAGAAATGATATATATCTCATTTATCAACTACATTAATTTGCATGAATTATGTCACTTATCAATTGTGCTATGATAAATGCATATCACTTATCAATTGTGCTATGATAAATGTATACAACATCTTATTGCTTATAATTGTTTAATCATTTACTCATTTATCATTACTTATTCTACACTTTGTTAAAGGGGAAGGATAAATGAATAGGGTTGAACTGATCAATTGTTTTCCCTTCTTAATTTTGCCCATACATTTAAGAATCTGTTTTTTTTCTCATCCAACATTCATATATTCAACATAACCATCATCTTATCCTAATTTGAAACTCAAAATTTAGATTTTTGAATAAAAATTTAAATGAAGTCTTAAAAGTATCCCGTTTTAAATTATTATTCGAAAAGTTGTAATCATTGATAGAAATTACCTAATTCCATAGTTTAGTTATTTTACTTTCATGCTGTTACTTATTGTTTGTTTGAGTTCAAATCCGGGCAGAAAGTCTTTTTTTTTGGTTTTGTTTCCTCATTTCTGTAAATAGATAAACCCATTAGGACTGAGCTCTAATATTTCAGTTTAGATTTACAAAATCACTTTTAAATTTAATTTACAGCTTAATTTTATTGAAATTACCTCCTAGACGAGAAGTTAACGCTCATTAATTAATTTAAATACTGAATAGGGAGTAAAAAAGGAAGAGAGGGAAAGAGAAAGAGGAAGAGAGAGCAAAGAAGAGTGAATCTGATAAAAAAATTAATTAGATGGTGATTATAAAAGACCAATTAACAATGAATAACAGCCGTATTATTAATCACTAAATTACCCGAGAAATGCCAAAAGTAAAAAAGAATTCATAGGGGGGAAGGGGGGAGTTTTCCCTCAAAATTCTACCATCTTTTCTTCAAATTTAATATTTCCTCAATTCTGAACAATATCATTTTGTCTGAAAGTATTTCCAGCAAAAGCTTATCCTGTGATAACAAAAGGAGCTGTACTCCGTTCCAGTAAACCAATCTGAAACCTCGATACCATTAACCTAGACTTCTCTCCCCGCCCCCCAATTCCTTTTGGGGTTTCTCGAAGCTATCTCCTACCTCAATGTCGCAGTGAATTTTGATGGCAGCCTTTTCGGCCGTATTAATTTTAGTCACTCGTAGCTTCAGGAAGGGCCTGACATGTTGCTGTTGACTTTGGCCTATTTGATGATTGGGGTATAACGAGGGCTTGGATAGGGGTCACAATTGAGGTTAAGGTTGAGTATGAATTTATATCACCCTTCAGAAGGTTCTGTTTAATGCCAAATAAATTGAAGTCTTGATAGAAATATTGAGTGAGTGATTGCATTAGAATGTAAATTTGTAGTTATTTATTTGAATACATATTAATCGTTTTCAAACTTCTGAATCAGATATTAGGAATTTTTAAGCAATACATCCTATTTAGCTTTATAGAAATAAAACTTTGCTTTTAATTGGTTAATTGTATACATATATGCAGATTCCAGAAGTGAGAAAACTTTTAAACAGCATTTACTTTAAAATTCCTGCTTTCAATTTTGATAAACTTTTTAATGCGCAACTTATTTCGCAACGAATTTGCTTATTCCACTCGAATTTTGAAGCAATTCGGTCAGTTCCAGTTAACATCAGAGTTAGGTCACAAATCTTGATTAAATGCTGATTTTTATTTGGTTTTTGACTCAACTTTAGCTAATATCTAGATGTATTTATCGACTCCGAATGTTTTTCAAATTGATTTCTTTTTTGATTTCATTTAATTGCCACTTTTTGAGATTTATTTAACGGCCGGAACCGACTTATCATTTCTAATTAGTTTTCAAACTAATGAAACAAACTTGCTAATTTCATTGTATTTGTCAAACAAATGGAAAAATAATGACAACCAACATGTCTCTGTTTTTTGTCTGTTTGTTAAATTAGCGCGTGTGTCTTTTGGTTACTTGACAAAGTTTTTTTTTGTTTTTTTTTCAGATTACGGCATAAAGTGATCACGAAATACTGTCACGTGTAAAGACGCCAATGGCAGCTTTTAGTAAGCTTGCAAAGCAATGGCTTTGTTCTACACGATTAACCAGTAAGCTTCATATATTTCATACATACATATTAATATCTCGCAAACGATTTACGAATGTTTTTTAATGTATTTAAAACATATTTTTCATTTTTACGTATAAATCAGTATTGAATTAAATAAATGAGTACGAATTTAAGATGTAAGCAAACAGATTAATTTGTGCAAATGAACAGATAACTTAGGTAAATATGAGTGGTTAACATAAGTATGGCTAATCAAACAACGAATTAAGCAGAACAGATAATTTAGGTAATACACAAGTATGAATATGCATAAAACACCATTAATATACGTGAAACATTTACATCGATAAACTTAATTTCTATGACGGCTATTTCTACTTCGTGTTCTTTTCAGAAGTTTTTGCATTTATCTAAAATTGCCTTAAGAAGAAAAATCAAATCCCTTTTGTTTTTTGATTGGTAATTTCTTTTTGGGTTTCTAATTAAACCTTGATTTCTCCGTCGACAATAGTTACGAACATGGAAAACTTTTCCAACAAAGACACTACATCGTATGTAATGTAATTCTGCATTTCGGTCAGGTATCCCATTCTTAAAATGAAGCGTAGCAGTAACACACTATGTAGCATTTCTTCTCGAACACCAGTCGACTGTACTGCCAAAAGAATCAATCATTTAATTCAAAAATTATTTAAATTTTAAATTCATATGCGAAGTTTTGTTGTGTTCTACTACTCTTTTCGTTGATTTAACGATATATAATGAAGTCATTCAGGTTTAAGTTTATATTAGGTATCATACTGCTTCCAGATAGTATATCACTGTTGACTTAATTACAAAATATTTCAGTTTTACCAGCAAGATTTTCATCCGATCGCGTCTTTTATAGACGTCCATCAACTCTTTATTTTAATCGTTGTAAAGATATCGGCCATTTCTACGTGGTCGGCCTTGGTATTTTACCGATGGTTTTACTTCTTGGATTTATCCATGTCGTATACGGTAATTTGTTCATTAGTCGTATGGAAATAATTTTAATTCAAATCTTCTCTGTAACTAGCTCTTCTATAAATTATTCCGTGCTGTAATCATTGGAGTCCCATGACCGAAATCTTTACAATCGAGCTTTGCAAAAATTTCATTTCTGGGAAAATTCTGCATTGCAGGACCTTGTGAATTACAAGATTTGCCAACTGATGGATCCGCTGTTCATTACTGGCAATTCGAAAGAACGAAGCTGAAACAGTGGGCTGCGAAATATCTGTGCCCATCAGATATTGAGCAGTACGAACGTAACCTTGCATATTTCGAGAAAGCAAACATCTTGAGCAGATGGAGGTTTGCTTAAGTTCCGTTTTTTTTCAAGTTTTTTTTTCGGTCAGTTGGTGGAGTATGTGAAAGCAAGTATAAATTCACTCAACTAATGTTGCCGTTTCAGGAAAATCGAACAGCGTGTGGAGCATTTGCAGGGTGAACGTTGGGATTACAAAGCATGGTGGTATGAACCAGTTTCGGCTGTTTGGACTGATTACGGAAGATGGACTGCAGAAAGGATGAAACATCAACCTTCCGAATTTTAGGCAAAATTGTATTTAATGTTCAAAGTTGGAATTGTAGATGTTAAACTTCCTCTTTTGTTTGATTTGCACATACTGCTAGATAAAGGATGTTTACAGTTGCCCACTGTTGTATTTTTAAATCTCGAAAATTCTTAACAAATTTCATTTTTCTACTGAAAAAATATGTTTTCTGCTATCAAACTTCAATACCTGAACGAACTGAATGGTTTGGGAACAAGTGCGACCACTAAATTATAAGCAATGGAATTACTACTGATTCCAAAGTTATGAGTTTTTATATTACCCATACGTTTCTATCTTCCTAAACAAAAGTTTTATACTATCCAATTCAGTCCTACAAAAAAATTCCCCGAAGACAGTGACCTGCCTTGGAACTTATCAGTTACTTTCGAATCCGATAAAATTTTACATAAGGTATGCTAAGCAATACTGTTAGAGCATGTACATCTCTCATAACTACTAGTTTCCGATTAATGGAATGGCAGTACGTGAACTATGTTTACCTTTAACTTTTCCTTTTTCTTTGACAAAGTTGAAACATTCGTAAAAATCTAACGAACTGCAACTCGAGTTATAAATTTACCTTTCAAATATTTCAATCACATGGAAAACAGTTTCAATCACATCGTTATAAATAAAAACTTTGAAATATTTAATCAATTCATTTAAAGACGACGTGAATGTAACAAATCCTGAAATCCTTCAGGTACGCATATTTCCATGTGATATCTTACGAGAGATCAGCTGAATAAACAATCATTTATAAACAGGATTATTTAACAATTGCAGTATATTAAGCGAAAGTATGCTGGAACAAATAACAACATCCAAAGCCAACAGTAGTTCTAAATGGTAATAGGAGCAAGTGATGCTTATTTATTTTGTATCAAAAACAAGAGGTACCAGGAAAAATCAGTAATTATATTCTCACACATTTAATTCTTACTTAACAATCGATTATTGTTAGAATTTTCTGTTATGGAAGTTCTGATTGGAATCAGACTTCAAGAGATTTGGATGATGGTCTTTGGAATGTCGTTTTTAGTATTATTCCATTAAAAGAAAGTCACAACAGCTTAGTAGAAAGAAAGAACATTGGAATTTAATATCAAACATTTTTAGCCGCGATAAGACCTTTCATCATGTCAAATGTGTTACCATCCGGATGTATGACCATTATTTTTCCACTTTGACGACTACGGACTTTCAAAAAACCATGACGATCCAGTCCACGAATTACAGCCTTTTCATTAGTATCCGATAGAGTTACTTCTTCTCGACTATAAACGCCCAAAATTTGATTCAAAAATCAAATTCAATTCAAAGCGAATATTAAAAATTTTTCGGGGATGAACTTTCAAATTTGCAGATTTAAATTAGGACTTCCATTCAGGAAGAAATTTGCTATTTATTTATTCGTTATTAGTAATAACCACTAAAAAAATGTATTACCCATTGCAGAATACATCATAATGTCTCAGTAATCTTGAAATTAAAAATTTTAATTAAAGTCACGAAATCTAACATTCACTGGTACTGTATACCTGTGCAGCCAAAATCGATAGTAATGCTTGAAAAATGCATTCTCACCCTCATTTTCATATAAATCGACATAATCTGCAAAACTGTACAATTGAAATTCCTGATAACATAACTACACAGTGGATAACATAACCTGATATTATTTTTAAAAACTCGTGGAAGTGGAAAGTTTACAGTGCGCATCGTTTTGGTCAAGTTTACGGTGTTCGTCGTCTTAATCTACATATTGTTTAAATCAATGATTAAAAATGGCCAAGAAAT